CAAGAGCTCGTTGCCTACGGTCCGGAGAGCCCGTTCGCTTGGCTGGTTCAACGCAAACAGTTTTCACATATACATTGTCTCTGAATATTCAACCGTTTCTCGTCCAATCAGTCTTTCATTATTTCGACTCTTGCTCCTCCACTTGGTTCTTCTGTACCGGTTCTCTTTCTGCTGCATTAATGAACATACTTTTATTGCCTACGGTTTGTTTTTATAGTAGAACGGCGTTGATAGCTACCTATAACATCCTGTTAAGTCCGTATTCTGCGTGAGTATGATATAGGCTTGACGACTTTTGATAGCCCGTAGTTGAAAAAGTGGCTAAAACTTTGCCGGATATTCCGCACAATGGAAAGGTGCTTTCCCATCAATGGAACTTACATACCTAGCAAGATGCGCATCTTCCTTTGCGTCTAATTTTTGTACCTGGTTTCCAAACTGTGTAAACAGTATTATCCCATTAAAACATAAAACTCGGGACAAATTTTTTAACAATCATAATTTTTGGCAATTACTCCAAGTGCTGATTCGAAGGCATCGAGTGGAAGATAGATTCGATGCAAATCTATTTGCCCTGAAACAATTGCACAACTTTGACAGTGTTCAGCCTCGAATCTTGGAAAAACATAAATCCCCAATGTGTCGGATGGGGTATCTGCAAAAATGGAACAGTACAATAACTTATTCACCTAGTAGATGAACAGAGTAAGCAAAATGCTTCATCTTAACTATCCGGGGTATATGAAGCTGTAGGTGGGTCTGTAGTCTCCAAATGGTACTATCAAGAAGCAAAAGCACATGATATTTTCCATAGTCAATACCGCAAACATAATTAAAAGGACAGTCCATTTTTCCTCCACTTGTTTACCTCCTAATTACTGGATTATTTTTGAAGCGATCTTAATGGCGAATGGGGTTTTCGTACACGCAAGTTTGTTAGTATGAAGTTACCACCAAACGGGACACGATAAATTGATGAAAAGTAAAGCAAAAATTTTGCGGAATAGTCCATAGTTGGTAGTTGTGATACTTGCGCTCAAAACCTCTTCGCGTCCAACTGTCTTCAACCTTTGGATAGGCTTCCATTCTTGACAAATTACCTCGTGTGTAGATTCGGTCCCACAGCCTGATTGCGAGAGGCCTTCACATGATATGATAAGCCTCCGGAATACTCTAACGAACAGTGGCCAATTTTTTTTCAGGCATATCATCGGACAGTTCTTGTCGAATTTGCTACTCAATTACCAGTAACGCTTCATTGCGAACTAAGAAATGTTGTTCAGATGGATATGAAACAACAACAACAGTTACTTCAATACCTGGGTGCGGACTTAGCATCTCATTCAAGGCGCGGCATGGTTCGCCTGTTCACACGAATATATCGAACAAATCAAATCGTTCTTTCCAATCTTTTGAATCACGGCACTTTTGTGTGACAACTTTATGCGCCTGTATCAAATCTCTCAGAAGTTTACTTTTGTGAGTATAGTCTATGTTTGGTGCATTCATTGCGATGAACCAATCATGACTGATATTTTAGGCTTGGTTTGTTTCTCCTGAAAGATGACTGACTGATAGCTCGCTTACACGCTAGAGCCTATAGATAAACCTGAGGCACACAAACCTTGGTAACACTAGTAATCTAGTAGATACGACACAAGCTGCGCTCCGTTCAGCTGGAAATCACGTGATATTACTGCGTCTAACGGACACGCAGTCGTCGATAACTTGGCAAACTACTACTAATGTAACCCAGGAGGAGGACTAACTCAAGGGTCTCTTGAACCTTCCATCTGACACGTCGTCAATCAGAGAGCCAATCAACACGAGACCATGTGATGTGAATTGCATGAGTGGTGCTACGTTTCGTCTAAGTGAGAGCTAATCACTAATTAGGGGCTCAGTACCAGACTATTTGGTGTCAGCTACTAGAAAGAAGGTCGCCGGTTTGAAACTCCCTGGAATTTCGTTAGAAATACGCACTTCAGATGACTCCCAACAAATATTAAAAAGCTGTACACTACTTTGGTTTCACTTACAAGACGGGATCATTAAAAAAACCTCAAATGTTCTTACACAGAATAGGTAAAGATTCTTCTTGTTCAACTAGCTTTCCACATAAATGGACGGTTTTTCCGTCAGAAAACGTCAAATATCAACTACTTCCATCCGTTTTTGGGCTGCAGATCAATTAAATGGACCAACGCTGTTTGTCGTCCTTGTTCCAGTCGTTCAAACGACCTAGGAAATTAGAGGTTTACTAGAGCTGGTGAATCATGTTTATCACTCATAACTTTGGTTGCTTGAGAGACCATTAGTGGAGAGGCTCAGTTTGCCTTCTTGATTCAGTGAGATCCCAGTGGAAGATACTTTACATCCGATTGTGCTTCACTGATATTCAACGCTTGAACTACGTGTAACTGGATGCAGCACCCAGGAGTGACTATTAATTCTTCTTCAAGATGCGACCCAGCTGACCAACAAGTTACTAAATCAGTTGCCGTTTCGTCATTTCGTAGTCTTGTCCAAAGACTTACCGATGCTAGGTTCATCAAAGCGAACGGCCAGACTCCATGCATTTGTGGAATATAATTTCCAGTGAAGCATATGTTAATCTTTACGTCTATCGCTATCCTGGCAATGACATGTTCAATTTATGATTTCCACCGCACTTCATTTTCTCAACCTCAAATAGCTGCAAGCTACGGGTCAATAGCGAGGTTGTTGGTATCGAAATCAATCTCACTAATCTTGTCGAAAACGAACTGAGTGTAAGGCACAGTGAAATTTCTCTTGTTTATTGAGTAATCGCAGCAAATCTTGTGTGCACATAAATGTAGGCGTTTGGAATGTGGCCATCGAATCATTATCGATCCATGTGGCTTCGTTCCACATCTTATTGACTAGTTATTATCTGATCAATAAGTTATTTACCAATAGAACGACGGCAATATTAGTAGATCCACCCAAAAAGCGACAATGAATCAGCCGTCTGAAGTAACTTTGGTGTCAGTCTAATCATTTCATCTTTTGAAAAAGCGTTTTACCTGATTTGGTTAAAGCGCTTGTCTGATGGTTAACATGGTAACCTACTGCAGGATTAAGCCCATCGCTTAGAATTAAAAGTAAAAAATGAGCTCTTCGACCAATACATTCATCCGTATACCCGATTGATTTGACGGGAGAATTACCTGGAACATAGCTTAATCTCCCGTTTATGTTGTTCCTATTCAATAGGCCACCTCATGTTTCAGTTGGTACGATATTCGAGATATCTGAAACTCGGGGGCTGTGCATACCTGATGAGTCCAAAGAAAGACGAAATCGGTCGTGCGCTGTCCAGGGATTTTCAGCAACCTTATGGGAAATGCATCAATTCTATACGATAAGGAGTGCTCATAATCATATACCTACTCGGATCAGTTTTATATTTAATTTAAGTTGCCCCAACGTCCCTGTCTATGAAAGGCTGTACAAGATTACTGATAGGCGATTCCTGCTCTTGCCGTTTTCTATTATCACAAACTTGGGTGCATTTGGACAAATGTCCGAAATTTTTTCGTGTTATTGTATGGCAGAGTGATGTATTTGCGCCATATGTGGCTTGTTATCTTGACTTCTACGATTCAGTCAGGAAATCACCTTCAGTCGCACAACATTGGAGGCTACTTTGAGTTTTCTCTAAGAAATCTTACTTCACAAAGGCAAGTGACGCGTACAGGTTCCCAGTTAACTTTAATTTCAAGGCGGGATGAACGAAGCGCCCAACTAAGGCCTGATTAGAGTATTGCCATCAGTGTGTAACCTGTTGAGAAGCCATCGTTACAAAACGGTTTGGTAGACAGTCAGATATTATTCGCCCTGAAAAAAACACTTGTAGCCTGATTAGAGTATTGCTATCAGTGTGTAACCTGCTGAGAAGCCATCGTTTCAAAACGGTTTGGTAGACAGTCGGATATTATTCGCCCTGAAAAAAACACTTGTCCCTGGATCTGCAAACCCTCACGTAAAAGTTGTCTAAAACTGGAATCAATGATTTTACTAAAACGTTTTGCACATCCGTCTATTTCCAGCATTGGTCCCCTCAGTTGCTTACAAGAAATTACGGCGTGATGATAAAAGTGGGGTTGTGAGACAGCGTATTTAAACGTTTGAATATAATGAATGCCTATTCTTCTAACCACACAGCTTCATTCACCCATACGTCCGGCTTCATTCTAATCCATCGCGTCATAATTTCTCGAGTTTACGCACAGATACAGCATTTTTTAAATCTCTTATAGTGAAAATTTCATGGACCCATACTAGTTCATCGGAAACGTCCACACATTGTGCTGGAGTGACCTGAAGATCAGTTGGTGGCTTCAAAAGCGGTCATCTGTGAATTGTCATAGTGACTGAATGCCGGCTGAAACGCATGCTATGTTGATTTGCACCACTTCCAATCCGACATAGTGTTAGCCAGTGCAGTAAACATTTTGGTCAGGCAAAGATGTATGCATCATTTGATGTGTTTTATAACCCCTGATTAGCTGGGTGGATCCTTCGTTGTTACTGGGCGAGTGTCTTCTAGGAATGGAAATGCATCACACGAGGTAAATGCTTCTGATCGTTGAGATAATTATGAACTCAGCAGCAGGTGATTAAAACTTGTTGAGGTATATGCTATGGCGGATTTTTCAGGTGGAAATCATGCAAAAGAAATGGAGGGAGATTCGTACCAGCAGTCGTAAGAAAATTCACTCAGTGAAGAGCCTGTCCTCTTACGGTTCGAAGATGATGTCAATTAGCCAATCAAGTTGCCGGATAGGGCTGCTAAGTACGTCAGCAGCACGACATCAGTGCTCAAACATCGATGTTTGGCTTCGTGCAAGAACATTGAAAGCGGCCTGCCGGACAAACTTTTGGGTTTGAAGATCGAAATACCTGAGGCTGACGCAGGGACTTTGCGCTGAAGACCGACGTAAGACGCGCGGGGTCGTTAGCCCTGCAAAAATCGTTACTTATGGGGTGGGAGGAGAGGGAAGAAGACGTATATGAGAGGAGAAGGTAGGTGCCAGTGGTAGCATGTTTTCGCTTGCCAGCATCGCTCTATGCAGCAAATAAGACGACCCAGCTGGTGGCACCGCGTGACGGCCGATGTGGCATGAGAGTATTGTTGGTTTTAAGTATCATGATTGTACATGGCCGAGATACTCCCAGGGAGCCCGGATC